TATTTATTATATTATAAATATTTTAAATAATGTATATACAGCAAACAATATTTCAACATAATTACAGTTTTAAAAATAGATACACGTTTTAAAATATATATGAAGCAATAAATTCTCTTACTTAAAATTTAAAAAAAATTTCTTTTTTTTTATCGATTAATTTTGGTATTATCTATAGACTTTTCTCTGGAGAAAAGTCTATAGATAAGCAGGCAATAAAAACCCAAATCTACTGTTGTTCCGTAATGAAAAATTACAGTACATAAGAAAAGGGGGGTGGAGACCAAAGATATTCCACAAAAGAAACTAAAAAAATCAATTATTTCGAAGATAATCGCTGCAAAGGACAATTTAATGACCCGTGGGCTACAGTCCACGTAGTACCAGAAAGACTTCCATATTTAGTTAACGAGAAAAAAAAAATATGGGGAATATATTTATATTTATATAAAGTATTTTTCTCCAGACACACAACGTGCACAGTTAGATTAACATATGTCGTTGAAGTAAGCCACCTATAATTAAGCCATAATAGTCTACCCGATAGTATTCCTCTAACCGAAGTTCGAGAGGTTAAAAACCTCCAGTTCGGTCCACGAGTGTGCTGTAGTCGCACGTGGGGTTTCTGAATTCTGTTGAAAACCGGCGAATGTCATCGGTCGAAATATCGAATAAACATCAGCCGTTCTTTGCCAGTATCAGATAGAAAAGCGTTTATTCATAGTAAGACTGGGAACTGCATGCGAGTCCAGCACCTGCTATTGGCGCCGCACACCTCTACATTGTAACCTTGAAAGTCGGTCAGTTACCCAGGCCGCCGACCTTGGCTGGCTATCAAATCGCACGATAAGCCAGCCGCTTTACAAACACGTTACTATACATAACCATCTTCGAACCTTCAATATTATTGTCGTTTACGTTGGATATTATCCCACTATTGTACCAAACTCTAGCTGTGCAGCGATACGAGGGTGCCACAGTAGATGCGGCTTGAATTACTTCAGTGGAAGCTAGAGGAATAGAGAAACAATCAAAAAAAGAAAAAAAATACCGCTTATAAGCCTGGATAAATGCGTTAAAAATCTAATGTTAAAAAATACTTTTAAACACGTTACTGGAGATTAAGAGCGCTTTGAAACGTAAAAGACGCGTTACGCCGGAGAAAAGCAGTAAAACGTAGTATAGTAGCTGTAAAAATGTTTAAAACCTAGCCTATATTCTTGTTCGAGTGTCGTAGTAAACGAAAATATTCCGTATCTCAATTTAAAAGCGAATATTTTTCCTAGTTACAAAACAACACGCGGACGTACGCAGACACGCAAATTCACGAAAACCATTGCTAAATTACAGTCAACAAACTGGAAAAAAAAATGTACTAAAAGTAGAAAATCATTAAAACTCACACACACAAATGCAATTACGATATTAAACGCTGCTGGAAAGGATACAAATTTAGAAAATCTTCGATCGAGCGACGATACGGTGGCATCTGCAAGAGATTCTTAAGCAGTAATGAAATCTGATCGACGCGTATAGATGTCTATAAAACCGATGACTCTCGGTTGGTAGACGGGAGGTACATGTTGCAAGACTGATATTTGGTCGAGGAGGAAAGAAAAACCATCGAGAATTTCTCCAATTCCTAACCTGGATAACTTCGACCTTCGTAAGAAAAAAAAAATGCTCGACCGAGATGACGTACCGATTAAATTTACGGAGCGCCAAACGTAAAAAAACATGCACATAATCGACAACGTTACAACGAAAACTGTCGAAAATCTAAACAAGAAATAAAAAAAAAAATCTACTCAGATAAGGGATCATAACCTCTGCGTTTGACAGCCATGTTTACATAACAAGTTGATTTCGCTTAACTGGGAAAATATTCGCATTGGCACACACAAAAAAAAGTCAACAACATACATCAACGACGAAAGAATAAGAAAAAAAGGAAAGAAACCATAGTGACATTCCATAGAGTCATTATGCACACAACTGCATACCTATCCGTTCTACACACGACATAAAGGAAAATAAATTACAAGCAACGTCGCTCCCCAATCAACAACTCATGCAGGGGGGAATCCACTTACACAAATGGTAAACCGGAGGAATAAATTAAGCTTAAATTGATTAAATTTTTGTATTTGTACTTTATTATAATTATGTTATAAATAAACGTCTTAACGTGTTACATACTAGAAAAATCTCTACCTCGTCCTACATAACGACTGTATCAGTAGTTTCCCGATAAAAGTACTGAGTCAGCAGTCAAAGAAACTTCGCCATTATGTAATGTTGGCAGCACTATCGGTATCACTCGCTGCCAACAAAGCGATAGAAGATAGTTAAGTAAACGCAGCACCGCTCTATTAAGATCTTTTTTTTCCCTGCTCGTTTTCTCCCCCCTCCTCTTCGGTATTCCAACAACTACAACAACTGTTACACGCCGCTCGAAATTAAAAACAGGAAAAAAAACTTAGCGCGTTACATCCAGTCAAGTTGCTGGTATCGGGTTACGATGCGATTAATTAAAACTTCACGAAAGATGTGACGAAAGCAAAGGATGCCACCATAAGCCAATTTGGATATTTAGGGGAATTGCGATAACTAGGTCAGTATGTCTGTTTCTACGTCAGCCGAAGAGATGACGTAACGCGGCTGTTCCATCATCACTGGACACTTCCTGCCTACGTCATCGACAACTAGGTCACAATGTTACATAAATATACTGTGGGTAGGGAACTCCTACAAGCACGACTAAACTTGCCAAGCCGCTCTTTAAACATTAACGAATTCCAACAGGTGTCTTTCGTAGAAAACGATGGCTATCTTCCTTTTTATCCTTCCCTCCCCTGTCGCGTAATTAACTTATAACTTTTCTCGAATCGAAAAATCGCACGAAAAAACAGGAAAAATGTATAGAAATTAGTTTCATGTATGGAGATAGTTCATTTGAATAAGTTATGCAGATGAAACGAATTTGTATAATTAAAGAAAAAAACACTTGTTGTTGGGTTAAAAAATCATTATTTTAATGAGTTTGGTAAAAAAAAAGAAGAGTTTTAAATATTTAAAAATTATATAGAAATGCTAAAAATAGACATTTTTAACCAGAAAATGTGGGCATCTTTCTTGATTCTTCCATACCAAACGGTACCAAAAAACGCAAACATAACTGTAATTTTTATTATTTTTTTTAATTTTACTTAACAAAACTGCGGAAGGGGGTGTATTTTCCGCCGGAAAAAGTTAAATACTCTTTTTTTTTTAAATTTTATTTCTTTATTTCCGAACTAACAACTAAGTAGGAAGTGAAAACACAATACCTTGTCGACTGCTACATTGGCTCAGACCCATCAGAAATCACTTGTTAATACTTCGACACTGAAAAAAAAAATAATTAAAAATTTAAAAAAAAAAAAAAAAAAAAAAAAAAAAAAAAAAAAAAAAAAAAAAAAAAAAAAAAAAAAAAAAAAAAAAAAAATAATAAAAAAAAAAAAAAAAAAAAAAAAAAAAAAAAAAAAAAAAAAGAAAGAATTCAAACGGCTCCATAGAAACCTGCTAGTTATCGATTCGGTTGGGTAACGTATAATCGAATCAACGAATTACTTTTGCGGTTTAGGTAACGTCATTTTGGTATGGAAACGGTTTCCAAAAATGTTTAAACTCTCGATNATATATATATTTTTTTTTTCTTCCTCCCCTTTCTTCTTTCTGTAAACATACGAAAACTTCTGTCGTAAACTGGTAACGGCCATTCTGGCAAAGCGCATTTTTACTGGAAGGGGGAAGGCAAGACTTAGACATAAAAGCCTTTCGAGTCACGATTCGGGCGCAGCGTTTTATGTGTCAAGATGTCGCCATCGTGCGGTACGTGACACGTAATTGCTGTTTACTGCCAATAACACTGGGGTCGTAAAATTGTACGAGACTAAACCCTACACGAAGATGGACATCGTCGGAGAAAGCTCATCCAATGAATAGTAGCAGTCGTCTTATCAATCCCCTGACCTATTTTATGTCGATCGGATTGATCTCGTCTTAGCAACAGTAAAATACAATTGTATTTTTTTCTTTTTATGTTTTCGATCGAGAAAGAAAACGAACCGAAAGGGGGAAAACGATTTCTTATTTTTAAGCTTCCTGTACGCCTCCTAGAAGAATCTTGTATACGCGTATGGGTATTGGGAGGATATTAATGAACTAAATTCGATTTTTATCGAGTTCCTTTGCCAATTGTAACCTTCTAACAAAGAGGATGCTGAAATTAAACAGGAAACGATGGGCTGCTATTGTTATGCCGCATATCCTCGCCGTGTTGGAATCTAGTCCATTGTCGACTCAAACGAGCGATATCTTATAAACCGTTCCGTCTAGAAAACGATCTACTACTTCAGTTTGGCTCCTTGTCCATGTAAGAAAAACGAAAAAAGAAAAAGAAAAAAAAAAAAAAAAGAAAGAATTCAAACGGCTCCATAGAAACCTGCTAGTTATCGATTCGGTTGGGTAACGTATAATCGAATCAACGAATTACTTTTGCGGTTTAGGTAACGTCATTTTGGTATGGAAACGGTTTCCAAAAATGTTTAAACTCTCGATTATCGAGCATTTTTCGATTCAGAAAAGGTCAAAGAATGACTAAAATTTATATTAAAGTTGTTTCCGGTGCCAGCAACACACCCGAAGGTTTTGAAGAACGGCATCGAAATCGTTACCGAGAATAGAATTTCCCGAGGAGAAAATGTAAAGAAATTGTAAAATAAAACATCAATCTGCATGAGAAATTAATCGAAACCGTAGAAGAAGTGTACGCAGAAAGTCGTACAGATATTATGTAAATTAATTCAGAAGAAATTAAGGAGTAAAGTAGGCATATCTCGTATTGGAACCGAGAGATCTGTAGGATGGATGACGAGTTAAAAATGAGATTTTGCAACATAAAAACATTATTTCATTCGATTTAAAAGAAAGAAATTTAAGAAAAAAAACTGAGTAAAACTTCATTAAAATGTTACAAGAACTAAGAACACGTTGTAAAGATATTTGCGTTCAAGTGAACGTAAATAAAGTTGATTAAAATACGTCTTTAATTCATAAAATGTTTTTTTTTTCACTTTATTAAAAGATTCGCTTTAATGAATTCTGGAGCAAATGTGAAAAATGAAATCTGCATTTAAAAAAAAAAACAGCTTAAAATATACAAGAAAGCTGAGCTGACGTTTCGTGTTATTTACCAAATCAACATATCAACAAAATCAATCCCGAAAGAATCGTGATAGCGAAATGGATTCATGACGATTTTTCTGTTGATTCTACAATAAACTTTTCAAAATTATACAAAAAATCTGCATATAAAACTTAGTCATAACTGAAGGGAAATCATTATACTGTATAGAAATTAGTTTCATGTATGGAGATAGTTCATTTGAATAAGTTATGCAGATGAAACGAATTTGTATAATTAAAGAAAAAAACACTTGTTGGGTTAAAAAATCATTATTTTAATGAGTTTGGTAAAAAAAAAGAAGAGTTTTAAATATTTAAAAATTATATATATATGTATAAAAAAGTAATTGTTTAAGTTGTGAAATTAAAGTATTCACGACAGTACGGTCTGTAGAAGCACGCGAAGTGAATCCCACCTGCTCATTGTACTTTTTTTCTGACTTAATTTAATTTTTTTTTTCTTTTTCGAAACACCAGCTGGTCCACGTCCAGCTGTTCGTATGTATAATCTTACCTTCCTGTCCTAATATATGTTAAAACTCATTCGGGTGGCATCCTAATCCACTAACATCGATACCGACCACTTTCATATTAATTGCGATTAATTATTCATCGTCGTGGTGTAGCGGAGTTCGGGGGGGAGAAGTAATTATACGCACTCGGTTAATATTTCAGGTGGATGAAAGTTTGTTTAAACATTAATAAGCAGTGTATACAAACGCCAGGAAGAGGGTCGTCGTCGTGCGTGATTTTAGTGGTTCTGAAGTGGTTGAAATTGCTGCGTGACGCCTCCCACCCCGCTTTGGCACGCGAGTTTCGACTTCGCTATCAAGGGGGGAAGAGAAAGACGGGAGGAAAATGTACGACAGGGTAGAAGAGGGTCAAAGAGGAGAGTGTAATCATCTATCTTGACGTGTCTGTTTTTTTTTTGGAATTTTCCACGCGTATTGAGAGCTGTTCTCTGTCGAAAAAGTGCCAGAGTGGTGACGAAGTATGCAAAAATTCGCGATACATCCAAAAGTGGGGGTTGTCAGTATTACAATCTTGGAAATCTGTACAGCACACAACGTGGTAGAATACTAGAAGTGTATTGTGTCCACTTCCAATAAAAGAAGCTGTATATCACAACAGAGCGGCTATTCAGATGTCAATACATCTTCTGTTATGTTTATAATAATGATTTATTAAATCAATAATAGATTACGTTGTAAACATTCTAATCGCAGTTCGCATTATCGCTATTCTGTCCAAGTATTAAGATAAATAACTGTATATTCTGCGAGTAACCACTTAATCGAAGTTGAACAATAATAATTAATTTGTTCAGCATTAAACTAACTTTATAACACCGTTCAACGTCTGTATGAATATTACGAAATAGTTTCGTATGTGTCGGATGTAACAACGCAAACAAATATTTTGTAACAAGTTTAGGCTAATCAAATTATGCCAGTCATTTAGATCCTTTAAATATGCTGTAGGGAACCGAACCCAAGACTGTCAAACAATTAAGTAACAGAGAGTAGAATTCGAACAAAAATTTCAGGCATTAACTACTTACATAATTCATACCTTGACGTGGCATAGAACCGAACCCAGTACACTAAACGGCAATATTGTAGAGATATTTATCTACATTTTTAAAGCGCTAATCATCGGCTAAGTTACCAGGAAATCGAATTAAAATTTCATACCTCGTGCTAAGTATTGCAACACCGGGACACACCTTAAGGGACCACTTAAAACCACGTTAGATACGTCTAAATTAGATACAGATTCTACTGCCGTACACACTAGAGAATCGGTCTATATAACAATAGGCCTATTTACACAATTTTAATATGTAACGGTGTTAAAGATTTTGTGTCAACAATGATTTACACAGATTAGAGAAGAATATACACAGGAAAGGTTATCAAAAAAAAAAAAAATAATAATAATAATAATACATTTCTGTGGCGATATAATTTCACTAGTAGATAATTTAATTAAACATTATCAATCGATAGGCTGTGCTAGATCGGTTGGTAACGTCATAATTGAATTTCTAAACAATGTAGTATATATAAATTGGAGCAAGCACCAACGGGACGGCTTTTATCAAGTAACACAAGTTTAATACGTAACGATATTCGTTATTACGACATCGTTAATTTGGGAAAAATCTATGTTTAAAATCGTTTCTTTATCATTAATCAGTGGGGAAAATGTGTTACGGTATCGCTTCGAAACGCGATAACAGCATGCGTTACGATCGATACGCGTTATTAATCATTGATCTAGTGGTATTAAGTGGATTCTCTCTTCGTAAATCTAGAGCTAATTACTCAAAATCTGCCTTTCCCCAAATCGAATTTAGTTTCAATAATAATGATCGTTCCAAATTTAACACTTCTGCAGCCTTCGTTTTAATTTGTTTATCTTTCCTTCCGGCAATAAACTATAACGCGTTACTCGTGTCTACAAAAATTCAAAATTAAGCGTAGGTGTTGCACCTTGAGAGCAAAGTCTTAATATTATAACAAACAAACGAGAAATGTTTTCTATTTTCCTGTTTCTGACTAATAGAACAACTGGAATTAACGACAAACACGGGAAAACTGATACAGTGTGTGTGTATAGGCTATACAGGACGATTCAAAAGTCAGTTAACAGGAAGACTAAATGGCAACTCGTTTATTCTAAATTCGGATCACGATTTTACACTCACACCTATCTGGAATCAGGAACCGATCCAGAGAGAACGACTGCACCATAATATATTTTATTAAGAACAGGAGCTTCATTATTAAAACAATCGTTATATTCCGTCAACATAAAACATGGTTAACTGACTTTCGAACCATCTTGTAATCACTTTCATGTATTATCACGCGTATTCCTGTATCGGGTGTGCAGTACGTCCCTCAATCTTCAGGCCTCTACATTATAAATAATGTATATCTATATTGATACACAAACACAGCAAAAACTTGCTCAGCATACTCGTTAATCGCATTAAATAATTCTTAATACAAATTCTGTGCGTTGCAGATATTAATTAATCCGACACAGACGAACGAGTCAGGTACAATAGACGTGTATGTGTTTAAATACGATTAAGATACAGAGTAATACAAATCATTTAAAAACACACACACACACACACACACACACAA